TTTTAATGACAGAACCAATTAGGAACTGCCATTTATAATGAAATTTTGAGAGTTTTCTTAGAGTTTTGAAATTTTCACCACCAGAACTTTAGTTTTGTAAGTACTTTAGAACCATTTAGAACCATGCATTGCCCAGGCCAACTGGTTAATGTACTTTCCCTTTATACAGTGGCTCACTGAAAATATGTTACTTTTTTGGAGGGGTTTCAATGAGAAATGTGACTTAAAAGAATACTGGTATGTCCCTAGAAACTAGAACCCTCTCTGTGCTTCTTTAGAATTCCTATTCACTCCAGACTTGGCTACATATAATGGCTGCCTTAAAATTGATCGAAAGGCTTCAGCGTTGCTAAAATTGTATATAAATAAGCCACAACATACACTTGGCATGTGAAAGATGGAGTACTTAAGGAAAGGCTCGTGGGAACTCACTACAGCTTGCAGTGTTGGAAAATATATACTGATGATATATGTCTTGCGTAGAGGAACAGGTGAAGCCCCTATGGACCATAAAACTGAGTGCAATACAAATATGGATGATGTTATGCCATTGTTACTAGGGGTGTTTTTTTACTTGCTTATTAGGTTAGGCAATGGCTTTGTGAACATTCAAAACTTCCTGACGATGGAGACATATATAGAACAAGTTACATGCTATGTCTTTAACAGAAAAGTCCTGATAGCAGAATGCCAGTAAGTGAGGCTACTATATTAGGAAGGAGCACATATGATTATAATTACTTTTGTATATACAGGTACATGTGTATTAAAAACAATCATAAAAAGAGGCACATGTAAGATGCTTTTATAAAAACAGAAAAAAACAGAAAATAGCTATGAACTAAATTAGGCTACTCTTTCAATTTTATTTCTTTGCTATAGCATTGCGGTTCTTGTAGTATGGCATTTTGTCTGCTTAGCTTTTGATATAAATACAAAGTACAAGAATTAGTTGGAGCTTGAGGGCTTACATTTAGGGATATGGAGGAACTGTAATTCAATGGTAGAGGGCATATGCTATTTATGCAGAAATATCTTGAACATTTACCATTTGAAGAGGAAACTTGAAAGACTAAGCTTCAATGGAAAACAACTTATTTCTGAAAGAATAGACACATTAAGTAGATTAATAGGCTGGAATTCATGGCAGTTACATAATGAATCCTTGCGTCATCTCTCTAATCCCCATTTACAGGCAACAGCTGCTTTGATCAACAGGGGTCTGTTACCTTTTCACTCAGAAAGAACAAGGCTGATGGTCCCATCCTCAAGCAATCTTTGGAGAAACCCTTTTGCAATCCCTTCTTGTGCTAGAGGTCATGCAAGCAAGGGGTTTGGGAATGGCCAATAGCTGCTTTCTGAACAAAAGGGGAACAGACCCCCCCCCCCTTGATTGTAATGTTTGCTTCCTGGTAATTGCCAAGTAGGAGGACTTTCGCAGTCCCATTATAACTGTGATACAATCTTCTGGCCATTGTACTTTATAACCAATTTGAGAATTAAAAATGCCTTGCCAACTCATTGAAATATAATCAGGTGCGAACACTGCATGGCATTACAAAATCGGAAATACATGAGTTAAATACTAGGGCTGGGCAACCACGGAAAAATTTGTTTCTAAACTCGATTCGTTTTTAGGGAGTTTTTGCATTTCGATTTTTAAAAGAATTCCGAAATTTTTCTTTAAAAAAGTTCGAAATTTACGAAATTTCGGAAATTACGAAACAATTACGAAACAATTACGAATCGATTTGTTAATGGCGGACGCGACCGCGCAATACGCTAAAAAAACCTCCAAATGGGACAGGGGGAACTTCTGAAGCTTCCCTCTCCCTCTGTTGTTGACTGTTGGTGTGATAATTATAATTTTTTTCACTGATAAACAAACAACAACTATAAAACTTGCACCAGACATGCGGAAATAATAACGAAACGATTTCGAAACAATTACGAAACAATTACGAAACGAATTGAAAAATTCGTTTCATTTTTAGTTGCTCCTGAATAGTTCAATATCGCTTCGTTATCAAAAAAAATAACGAATTAATAACGAATTATGAAATTAACGAACGAAACCGCCCAGCCCTATTAAATACAATGAAAAATTATGTACATAAGTTTAAGTAAGCTGCATATGCAACAACAGAGAGTATTTGTGTTATATTTAACGTTTTTAAAATTGGAAACAGTGTGAGTGTATGTTTTCCAACCTATTTAAAAGTGGAATCACTTCTTTGAAAGAAACAGAAGCTGTTTCTGAAGACTCCCAAAGACCGGCAGTCAGTATAGCATAAGTAGCTATAGGCAGAAGAAACAGAATCAAGAGAATAAAGGCAATGGATGACGGAAGTCATGGTGCAATGTGGCTATCTGTATCTTATCTATTGTTTATGAACTCTTCATGAACTGTAAACCTCACAATTCTTTGCTATCGACTTTTGTAAACCACACAATTCTTTGCTGGAGTATACAGATTTCCCAGCCCTAGTGATGAATATGTAAGTTGCTCAGTGGCTATTACCTGTGGTCTACATTATGAAAGAACTCTCTCCCTCCCTGAATGATACTTGCATTTCTTCAATTTTGTTGTCTTACTTGGCTTTCCCAGTTCCTGAAAGAAATGGGCCAGCACAACTGAAATGTCCCTCTGAAGTATCATAACAATTAATTTCTTTTGAACGGAAGAGGAGAGACTTCTTTTTTCGCTAGTTACATCTCACTATTTACATCTCACTTTTATATTGTGACTAGCATGTATATCCAGTGTTTTCTGGTTTTTCATTTTTTTCATAGTCTTTTCTTTCCTTCCTCCCTTTTCCTTATACACCTTCTCCCTCTCTTCCTTCCTTTCCCCCTTCCTTTCCCTTATATAATTCTCCCCTTCTTTTTTGCTTTCCTTTGTCTTCCTTCCTTTGTTTTCCATTCCTTTTCTTTCTTTCCTCCCTATATCCATCCATCCTTTCCCTTCTTTTATATTTCCTTTCTTCTTTGTATTTTACTTCCTTCCTCTATTCCTTCTTCCTCATGCATCTTCCCTACCTGCCTGCCTTCCCTATACTCCCACAACAAGTATTTTGAAGCCTATCATGGTAGGCTTGGGTAACCACAAAAAATTTTGGTTCTAAACTCGTTTTGTTTTTAGGGGGCCCTTGCGTTTCGTTTTTTTAAATAATTCCAAAATTTTCCTTTTAAAAATTTCGAAATTTACAAATTTCGTAAAATTACGAATCGATTCGTTAATGGCGGACGCGATTGCGCAATATGCTAAAAAAACCTCCAAATGGGACAGGGGGAACTTCTGAAGCTTCCCTCTCCCTCTGTTGTTGACTGTTGGTGTGATAAAACAAACAACAACTATAAAACTTGCACCAGACATGCGAAAATAATTACGAAATAATTACGAAATAATTACGAAATAATTACGAAATAAATTGAAAAAATTGTTTCGAATCTAATTTACTCCTCACACTATTCCTGCATGGCTCAATACTGGATCGTAAGCTAATTTAAATACGAATTAATAACGAATTACGAAATTAACGAACGAAACCGCCCAAGCCTAATTAATACTGCCACCTGGTCCTGTAGCAATGGGCACCTCACGTTGCCTTCCCCACTACCTGTCATGATTATGCTGCATTATAAGAGACACAGTCCATAAGACAAATGCCAAGGCAGTGTTTCAAAGTCACGGCACCAAGTCCAAAGAATAACTGATAAGGATAGTCCAAAGTTGTAGTCTAAGTTCAGTTGCCAGAGTCAAAGCTGGAAGACTTACAGGAGCAGGTCTGAGATAAAGAATATTCAAGCTATGAAAAACGGAGTGTCCAAGAATATCAGAGTATGGGTTTATTCAAAGAATGTTTGATTGCCAAGACAAGCCTTCAGACTGAGCTTCTTTATCCTAAAATCTCAGCTGTTGCATCTTGAAAGCTCGCTTCTCTGCTAATCCTGCAGACCTGTGAGTCTCTGCACACACTCTTCTGTGTTCTAAAGCTGCAGGTATGCTAACTATATTTGTCTCAGCTTGTTAGTTGTTCAGACTGCTGTAGAGTGTCTGGCACTGCTGAAGGCTCATCCTCAGCAATGACTGAAATAATCTGGGGAGACAACTGGGAGCTACTGATGTCCATGTCCCTTGCTGGCCCTTCCAGTCACTCCTCATCCTCACTATCAGGGCTGGCCATGACACTTCCTCTTGTTCAAGCTTCATGAAACCTCCTGTGCTTCAAATTAAGAGTCTTAGCTCACTTGCAGCAGCGACACTGTCATGGAGCCCATACCATCCATGAATACTCTAGCCACCAAACTGCAGGCTTATGAAGGCTATATTATCTAGCAACAAACAATATGCTTTGTTCCTATACTCTACCTCTGCTCTTTTTTTTCTTCAGTTTTGGCCCTTTTTGCAGTTGAAACCCTGCCAGTATTTTAAGTTGAGTCATGAAGGATATGTGTACCAGTTTACCAGTTTTGGTTCAGATCAACCAAGTTATATAGGATTTTTTTTATGGAGCACACATACTTTTACTTTTAGATAGATAGATAGATAGATAGATAGATAGATAGATAGATAGATAGATAGATTTTTGGTGATGCATTTTCTTTTTCAGAAAAGGAATATATAAAAGGAAGTTCTTTCTAACTAAAAATATGAAATTGATATAGCAATACAAAAGAATAGGAGAAAGTTCAATTACTTCCCTTTTGAGGGATGTAAAGATACAATGTGGAGTAACCATTTGTTAAGTATAATTAATTACTATGAAACCATGAAAGTCTATGGAAGTCATCCACTATTATTGATAAGATATTGGTATAATTTGTATTGAGATATAACAATTGAACCCATCAGTAGAATCTTTAATGCACCCTTTTGTCCTCACCAAAGGAGTTTTTAAATTTAGAATTTTGTGTATTACCAACTGCAACTCTTTCAAAAAAGAAATGATGCTCATTGTGATAATGCTATATATCGATTTTTTGTTTTATTTTATTAGGTTCTGCACAATGAACTTGTTATGGAGATGAATCATCCAACCGTAGGGAAGATTGCTGTTCCAGGTTGGTTTGTTTTTTAATAATCTGTGTTTTGAGCAAAACTTTTGGAATCAGATTAATGATTTGAATACAAAAGA